TGATACGTGCCGGACGAATTCCTTGTTTATAAAGTTTAATTACCGCACTTCATAGTGGACTGGACTTCATTACGGCAATACACGTGAACCGATTCAAACGAAACTACAAGCGTTTGTTTATTATGTATCAAGGTCTCAATTGACAGAGGCGTGCTCATTTCAGCATCTGTCAAATTCGAGCTATACACTGAGAGAAAAAAAACACGGATAATTTTTCCTCACTCTGTATTAGAATTGGTAAGAAAATTGATACAGCATTTTGTTTTTATATATTTGTCGCTTCATTTTTAGAGTCGGTAAAGTAGAAGGCGATAAAGTAGAATATTGTAAAACATTGAAGTGTGATGTGCAAAGCTATTGATATCATCACCATGTGAGGCACATAGAATCCAAGTGTGTCACAATTCGAATCAATTGGTTTCATACATGGTTAATAGCATAAGATTCATCACAATAAGTGCAAAATGAAGTGTAACACACAAGTTGATGAAGTGTGCAATTTTTTGAGTGTACTTGAGTTTTTAAGTTTTATTTATTTTTATTTTTACATAACATAAATAAATCAAAACATATCTTGTTCATTTTTCACAGGAAAACATTATTTTTCTCTACAACTTTGTTATGTGACTTTTTATTTTTTTATGGAAATGTAGATCAATTTGTTAGTCATCAGCAGTAGAATTATTCCATTTTTTTCATACCCGCTCGAAAAAGAGAGGTGCGTAGGATGGAAATTAGATCAAAAAAGTCGAGAAATTTTACAATCCGAAAAATTCTTAGACCGGACCGGCTTCAGCTTGGTCTTGCTTTTATAGCTGCGTGTTTAGCGACTGAACTAAAGCTAGGGAGGCCCTAAATTTCGTGAATTTATCAATGAAGCTATTTGGACATAGTTCTTAACAAGGGGCTGTTCATAAACAACGTAGACAGTTTTTTAGGATTGTTGACCCCCCCCCCTCCCCTGCGTAGACAATTTTCCATACAAAAAAATTAAAATTTGTATGGGTTGTGTATAATATAGGCCGATTGTATCCAAGACACGACCGTAGATTTGACGTAAGATTACGAGCTCGGTATCAATATTCGGCGACTGTGTTAGAGATCCTTTTTTTTCCCATCACGGAAACGCCTTGTTTTCTGATAACAAAATTTTGCATTTCGTGCAAAAAACCCTCGGAATTTTTGGTTTATTTAATAGATAATCAAAAAAGCAAAAATTCATTAAAGGAATTTCTTGCAAAAATTTTCCAATCGCGAATATTCGCGATCAATTATATAAATTCGAGATTTTTTGCATTTTTATAGCGTCCTGGAGAAAACCTTAACTCAATGCGAAGTGTTTGTGGTTAATTTACAAGGTCATGTGGTTATTCGGTCATTGCGAGAATTTTCGTGGTACATGTTACCGAAAGACGTAATCCTACGTCAAAAGTTGGGAGCTTTCTATGCCAACCAATGTGTTCTGTGTGATGATACCCAGGTAAGCCGAGAAATGTTCCAACGATAGAATTCCTAGACCGATATGTAGGGTTAAATAACCCATTTCCGGCCTATTAGGCACAACCCGCACTTAGTCTTTCTTAATCTAGCATAGTTAAGCACCAAACGAAATGTTATGATGTTATTATAACTGATGGCTTCCAAATTTATTTACCTTTCCGTACGTACCTTAAGATTTGATAAAGAGAAACAACCCAACAAACAATTTTAGCTGCAGATTAGCTTATACAGCCAAAATTTGCCTTATCCAGCTAATTTTTGCCTGTATAAGCTAAGCTGCAGCTAAAATTGTTTGTTGGGAAATTGTTGAGATATTGTTAAAAGTCTAACACTGCGACGCCAAACTCGGCCTAATGCATTGAAACGACATTGAAACACCAATGCATTCACTTCGGCCTATAGGACAAAGGTAAAGATTGATTTTTGTCGGAGCGCTTTATTTGTATTTGAGAATATTGGGTGCAAACATTCATATCACGCGTTCTTATTGACTTCGTTCGGTAGCATTTGAACTAACGTATCGTACTAAAGGGTGATACGGTCAAAATTTGGTCAATATCAACTTGACGTATTTCTTTCAATTTTGCATTTAAAAAACCTGAACACCCCTCATTTTGAAGGTGTGTGTGTGTAGAATGTTGCTCCTATTTTGATTTTGGAATTCACTCTTCAGTTGTCAAAATGCCGTCCAAGCAAGAAGAGCAGCGTATCAAAATTTTGCTCGCGCATCGCGAAAATCCGAGCTACTCGCACGCAAAGTTGGCAAAATCGCTAAAAGTTGCCAAATCAACCGTTACAAATGTAATTAAAGTGTTTGGGGAACGTTTGTCGACAGCCAGGAAGTCTGGATCGGGGGGAAATCGAAAACCGGAAGCCGCTGAGACGACAAAGAGAGTTGCCGGTAGTTTCAAGCGAAACCCTAACCTCTCTCTCCGAGATGCCGCAAATAAGCTGGGTGTATCGTCTACAACCGTGCATCGAGCCAAAAAACGAGCCGGACTATCGACTTACAAGAAGGTAGTGACTCCAAATCGCGATGATAAACAAAATACGACGGCCAAAGCGCGATCCCGGAGGCTGTACACGACGATGCTGACGAAGTTTGACTGCGTGGTAATGGACGACGAAACCTACGTCAAAGCCGACTACAAGCAGCTTCCGGGACAGGAGTTTTATACGGCAAAAGGAAGGGGAAAGGTAGCAGATGTTTTCAAGCCCAATTGAGAAATACTGGGTTATTGTCAAGCGGAACTTAAAGAAGACCAAAAAAACTGCTAAGGGCGAGCAGCAGTTCAAGGCAAACTGGCTTTCTGCGGCGAAGAAGGTGGACAAGGTGGCTGTACAAAATCTGATGGCAGGGGTCAAGCGTAAGGCCCGGCAATTCGGATTTGGAAAAGTGGAAGCCTAACTGAATATTTTTCCTGAATTTATACTAATTGAACTTGAAAAAGAAATTTAATTTGATTTTTTAAATAAGCGATTTCACCGATTTACACGCGTTTTCTCTTGACCAAATTTTGACCGTATCACCCTTTAAACGCATAATTTACCTGTTAACACCGAAATCATGGATTTATTTGATGTTTTCGGCTTGATAGGCCCAAAATGGGTGCTTAGGCCGAAGTAGGTCTCTACGCTATGTGGCTTCACATTTCAAGCTTTTTGCTCATCCCAAATTTGCTTATTGCGTTCTCTCAGCTTAGTGTTCTAGATGCACTTTCACAGTTATTAATTGAGAGCTTTCGATGCCTGTACCATGTTTGCATTAGAATAATTGGGTTGATTAACTTCGGAAAATATATCGATTTTTATACATCATCTGATAAAGCTTCGTTTTCTGAGCACAACGATATTTGTATCGATCCCGTAGACATTCATCTCGATTTTTAAATAAAGATTTAAAGTTTTGATCGTTGACACTAAATCTATTTGTTGACAGCTCGCTCCCACACTGTACACAAATACCATCCTCTGTTCGAATGAAACCTCATACCATTCCAACCGAAACATCTAAATCGCTTTTCCGAATGATAGCTGCAACCTCGGCTGCAACCGGATGACGGATGTTTTGTAATCCGATGAATTTCCACTCGAATACAGGATGAACAATGTTATGAAAAGGGATAGAGCCTTCAGTTGAAATGTGTAATGATCCCTGCAGAATGATTGTCATCCTTAACTGAAATGGATATGGTACTGGTTCAGCCCCATAACGGAAATCATTCAAAATGATTATCGACCGTCATTTGCTGATCTGAGCTGACAAACGAGGTGGAAGCATAGCCATTGCTATCATAGCTAATACGAGCTTGGGTAAAGCATGGAAACCGAAGGTTGTCTATTCTGTGGTGGAGGAAGTTTTCTCTACCAACGGCAAATTTTTGAATCCATGGAATGGCTGATTATGGCTATTCAGAATGGAAATATAAACAATCGAATTAAATATCTTATTAAAAGTATGTCTTACATGTCATACTATTCGTAAATTCTTGTACTCTGAGCGCTGTATGTTTGACAGCCAACTTCCAAATAAAAATCATCCTTTATTTGGATGACATAAATATGTCATATGGATCTGACGACGATGCATATTGTTAAAGGGCTCGAGCAATTCAATAATCATTCGAAATTTTGAGGATGTTTTCGTACAGTGCATACAAAGCCCACCAAGGGGCGCTAAGATGGTGATTTTTGCTAATATCATAGTACTAATTTAAAATAGTTGAAGTGTACCGAAATTGATGAAATTTTGGATTTAGGTTCCATTTTCAATACAGATAACGAACATGTATTTACCTAATTACCCCTAAACAACCCAATTGTGTGGCAAGTACAATCATACTCTATGTCCATTGAAGTCGAGTAATTTTCCAACCCAAAGAATTCCTAGACCGGACCGGGAATCGAACCCAGGTCACCTCCAGCATGGTCTTGCTTTGTAGCTGCGTCCTTATCGACTGAGCAAAGGCTTCGGCTTGCTTATACCACAGACAAACAGACATACAACTCGCAAGTTGTTCATCGAACAAGCATTTAACGGTCAATTTAAAAGCATCGTAGTTGGTAGTACCGCCACCTGTGTGTACCCACCACTGTGTATTCAACAGATGGCGGTAATGTTGTAACAACGATGTTTTACAGTGAGAAATATTCAATGTGTTATGTCTGTTTGTCTGTGCTTATACCGTGCCTTAACTAGCTGGACTATCTAAGGCCCACAATGGGCTATACTTACCTATTATTACGAGAGATAACAAAACGCACATCCTGCATGTTAGTGTCAAAGATTTCTTTATTTAGTTTTCAAATAATCTCATTTGTACAAATAGTAAACAATCTAAATGTGTATGTGTGAGAAATTCGCTGTTCTAGCATTGCTCATTCAACTTAAAAAAATAAAAACAAAACCTAGTCAAACCGCTTCTATTGATCTTTTTCTATCACTACATTTTAGCGCAACCTCTCTCTGCTCTAAAAAAAATCAGCTATTTATCGGGAAATGTAAAATCTACACGTCATCATCATAGATCGTAATCGAGCATCCTCGATTGCGACGATAATTCGCAATATCTGAACACAGGTGACACGTGAGAGAAAAGAGAACGTCTCTAGTTTTTCTCGCAACGTTGTTTGATTCGTCTCAGTACCAGGACCCTTTTGGTAGTAGCAGGGGTGGTTGTATTAGTAGTAGCAGTACAAGTAGAAGTAGTAGTAGTAGTAATAGTAGTAGCGTTATAGGCAGTTGTGCTGGAAAGATAACTGAAATGGGTAGAAGGAATGATTATGTATTTTTCGTCGTTTCCAAGGATAGTCTATGTGTGTAAACTTACGTTCTTCCAGCGGCAGTGCATCATTTCAGCAGCTCTAGCAGCATATTCCGCACGTAGACGTCGATCTGCGAGTAGTCGATCAGGGTGTTCCGTATCAGCTCCAGTAGCAGCGTCGGCCACGTGTTCTCTAGTTGTTGCAGCTTGTCGACGGCGTTGCAGGTGTTATCCAGCATTCGTGCGAAGTAAGCCTTACCCTTGGTTCGCATCATGGCATCGTCCTGGCTAGTGCTGTGCTTCTTCCACTGGAGTGCCTCCTTTCCGACAATGTTCTTCAGCGAGGAGTCGGCCTGCATCAACCACTCTTTGGCAGTCATCTTGGTGGCATGGGCCGTTTCCTCCAGTCGAAGTCTTTGCAAAAGGGGCTGCAGCAGACCTTCGGGTAGGGACCACAGAACCAGATCCGATAGACCGGCGTACATGATTTCAGCATCCTGTACTTCTTCCTCGGTAATTTCAATGCCATTGATCTGTTTTAGGCCCCAGTGAGACAGCCGGTAGATGGCGTAGTTGCGCCAAGGTTTGCTAGTGATGGGGTTACCTTCCGGGTCGATGGTCAACGAAGCTATCCCTTGACTTTCGGCAAGTGCGTTGATTTGACCCAGACAGATGATGTTCGTTTCACGGAAGATAAAGTTTTCGGCGTTTACGAAGCGAATCTTTATCCGGCAGAGAACCGCTGTGATGCTGTTGAAGTTGATATAGCTAAATTTTACCGTATGCACGTCCGAGGCCTTCGTCATGTTCCACTGTTTGTCGATGAACTTGAGGGCGCCCATGCCGTAGACGTTCAGGTATCGTCCGCAGATTTCGATGAGATAGTCACCGCCCTGCTCCCGTTCCCGTTCCGTCACTTTTGGCTTGGACGGTGGTACATAGTTACTGTTGGTTGTGGCGTTTCCTGATATGCTGGAACCGCCGGTGTTGGAGGAGTTGGAGTTGATGGTGGTTGAGCTCGCTAGATTTGACGAGTTTGCCAGGCTATTGGCATTGTTTATGACCGTATTGCTGCGGGTGGTGTTCGTGCGGATCAGAGTTCCTATTCCGTACCGCTTCACGGGAGCGACGGGCTTCGGTTTTTGGGAAATAGTAGCTCGGTTTGAATCGTTTTCCGAGTTGGATGATGTCGTGAGTACCGAGTCGGATGTCGTTTTGGCAGATACCGTCGATAGGGTGGACATTTTGTCGTTGTTCAGTTCATCCGGTTGATTTGCGGTAGATGACGTATCTAATGTCCCTCTTCCGGAATCCGAATTGCTGTTTCCATTTTCAAGCGGTTTACTCGGCTGTTCGACGGCGGAATCGTTCAGTGGTGGCGATTCGGACGTTTTCACCGGAGTTTCGACCGTCTCCAGGTTCGCTTTATCTACATCTTTTTCGATTTCTTTTACGTTCAGCTCTTCATTGTCGGAACTGAGAGCACTGGAGATGCTGGAGTCCGCATGCAGTCCAGTGCTGGACTCGGATGATTCTATTTTACTAGTCGAGGCAATAGTTGGCGGACTCTGTTCAAGGAATGGCGCAAGAATTGGTGGCAGTCGAAAGTAATCCTCACCGCCCTGTTCGGATAGTTGCGAGCCGGAATTGTCCTGCGAAGATGACCGGACCAGTTTCCTGCTGGGAGGGGGTTTCTTCACAGAAGCTCGCGAAGCCCGGTGGTTGTTCATTGCTGTAGTGCCGTTGGTATTGCCAGAGGATTTTTTAGGTTTAGCAGTCCTATTGATATCCGAGAGGTTGCTATTGAGATCCATTTCGACTTCTTTGGGCACGGCGGCGGTTCGCTGGACATTTCGGCAGGCAGTTGATTGTTGAGATCTCAACAGTTCCCAGTTGGTGCGGGCATTGGAGATGATCTCCTCCCGTCGTATGCTTTGGCACACGTCGGTGGACAGATTGGAATAGTTCATGTCGGACAGCTCTTTGTTCTTGCGCCAGGCGGAAGCAGCTCGGCGCACCTGTTCGGTGATTTGCATCTGACTAAGCGACACCAATCCGGGTAGGTAACTCACCAAAAACGAAACGCAGTCTCCGGCTAGCGAAACAGGATTGTTTTCGATGGTGACCTCCTTGAGATTGATTGCTTTGGCGATCGCTGACATGTCTTCGACGCACTGGAGATCGTTGTGGCAGAGCCATAGGCGCTCGAGACTTCGCAAGTCATCGAATCCATGGATCTTTTTGATTCGGTTCCGCTTCAGGTTCAGCTCCTTCAGGTTGACGAGTCCGTTGAAGTCGTTGGTGTGAATCTGACGAAGTTGATTTCCGGCTAGGTTCAGGGATTTGAGCTCTTGCAGTTGGTTGATCCTCGATGCTATGTTGGCGATTTTGTTGCCATGTAGGTCTAGCACCCGGAGGGTTTGTCGTAACGAGATGAGTCCACTGATATCGGTGATTCGATTTTTGCCCAGGAGCAGCACTGTGAGACATTTTAGGCCATCGAGGCATGATATTTTTTCGATCTGGTTGTCGTACAGATCGAGGAACACCAGGTTCTGAAGGTTGTAGCGCGGTTCGGCGGCCGAGAGTATCGGAGAGATGTGAGCCTGTGGGTTAACGAAGTGATTGGCCCCGTTGGACGGCGGGGGTGGATTGATAGGGGTGGTTTTTCCGCTGTTGTTGTTACTGTTGCCGTTGCTGGTGTTGGATTCATGGACGGCGGTTGTTTCGTTGGCGCTATTTAGGTTATCGATACTGAAGGAAGGTGTTAGTAGTAGTTTGTTTTTGAGCTTCAATACGTTGGTGGGCTGCTGTTGGTGAGCGGGTGGCGATGGGAACAGTGTGGCATTGCTAATGAAGCTGTTGGATTTTTTCAGCAGATTGCGGTGTTGTGCGCTCAGCAGGATAGATGAAGGCTTCTGCAGGAACGCATTGGTTGGACTTGTGGCACATGCAGGGGACTGACCGTTGAGGGGCTTGGCGCTCAAGGTAACTTTGCCAGCCAGATAGTTGATGTTGTTGTTGCTCAGGTATAGCTGACTTCGTGATGTGGACTTTTGCCGCAGAAGTTGCTTTGGATTGCGGTTGGTAGCGTAAGGTGAATTGCTATTGGTTGTGGCTGTAACTGCAGGAGGGCTGCAGCTTATCGGACTGGAGGTGGAGCTATCTTTAGCTGCAGTGTTGCTGGTAGTGTTCGTTCCGCCCGTCGGGAACCCGGTAGGAGTCGTCTTGGGAGAATTGTGCATCGATGGCGGCGTTGATGACGGTGTCTTGGGTTCATTGTTATTCGTATCGGTTTCGGCCGGTATGTGAAAGGTATTGATGAGGTTATGTTGCAGAGACAGCAGCCGAAGGTTTGGTTCATCGTCGATGATGGGAATCGAGCTGAGGCCTTTACGATCAAGATTGACACGGTCGGGATGCTTGTCGCGATCTTTCTCCGAACGTTTTATGGTGGTGACTCCATTCTGAACCAGTACCGATCCGTCTGGTTGCGGTTCGTTTAGGTTGTTAGCCGGCTGTTGGTCCCTTGGTGATTCTCGGCCTCGATCGTTACCTACAGCCTCGCGTGGTACGAATACTCGTTTCTCGCTGACTTTCTTCAGATAGGATGTGCTGAGCGTGCTGTGCGATCGGTGAAACGTCTTCAGTCTGGACGAGTGATTAAAATTGCTTGTATTGGCGACGCGAGTGGTCAGCTTTGGCACAACGGATTCAATCTTGAGCAACGTGTTGTGCGAATTGTTGGGATTGGTACTGATTACGCTGTCATTGATGTGTATTGCCGACTTTCCACGTAGTTTAGATGTACTCATTTGAATTTATTGCACTGGCTGTTTTTGTCTTGGTTTTGTTTTTGGCGATTTTTTTTTCGTCCTTTGTTGTTTTGTAGCGTTTTGCCCTTCCACCTGATGGTGGAGCACAGTGGTGTTGGTAGTGCTGCTGTTATTTCGTTACCCCCGCGCGCAACCTCTCTTCTCTTCCTCTGCTGCTGCTGATATGCCTCACTCGTAGACTGTTCATGAACCCATTGCTATAAAATTTTCCAAAGAAGAATCAATCGGATTTCATAACGAATCAAACTTTTTCTCTCACTTGTGCTGCAGATCAGTAACAATCACATTCCATCGGCACGTGGTCACTTGCCGAGCGCCTTCGAGTTAGCCACGACGCATAACATGTCCCAGTTAACTGCACGCACTATTGCCTATTTCCAGGCGCTTTTCTTCCTTGGAGAGCCCACTTCTCACTCGCTGTATCGGTCTGTCTCTCGTCCCGTGATGAAGAAATTGGCAAAACTTTCCGGATCACCGATTCGCGTGCGCCGTTCGTGTCGTCGTGCCGTGAACTGAACCGTGTTCCAGTGTATGCTGGCAAGACTTGTGCTGTTTTACTGTTCGTGAGGATCTCGCCTCGCCCGTGCCATGCTGCCTGCAGCAGGTCGTGAGTGAATGTGTGAGTTTGTCTGTGCCTTCTGCTGCGCGTGCCGAGTGTATGCGCGCCCTATTGAGGTTAGACATAAACAAAATCCCTAGCAATTTGGCGAATGTTGTTAGGGAAAATTGCTCGAGTGTGTTTATGGCTGTTAGCGTGCACCAGGCAACCAGCTGGTACCGCTCCCGGCAAGGTATCACAAATGCTGTGTATCCTGCGAGTTTCTAGACACTATGCCTGCTAGGGGAATTAGTCCGGTATTGCGCTGATCAGATTGCAAGAGTTACCGTTGCTCATATGAACGGTGGTGCGGTGAACTATTTGTGCAAATATACCAACCTGTTTCAATCGAGGGGTGAACCTATGGGAATTCCGATCCTGTCCGCTTCGGTATCGAACAATCCGAAGCACCCCTCGGTCGGATTCATCAATGAAAATTCCGTATCTCAATCGCGAAATGTTGATCGCGTTCGATTGTGTGGGTGGTAGTTTTTCAATTTTTCCACCCATTTCTTTTCGGAGCGGAAAATCACTTTTCGTTCGGTCGTCGTCGTTGTCATCGGCGTAGTTGTTTTGTGGTGTGACTTTTACCAATATATGATAGAATGAAGCCCATTAACGTATGTGTAGTACAGGATCAGAGAGCTGGAATGCCATTATCTGTACGTTCGGTGGATAGATGTGTGGCGAAATTGCTGAAGGTTTGTCACGCTCGTAAAGGTTATTCCCGAGTCAAGTACTTGATGGCAGGAAAGGGGTAGGTTCTTCGGAATTTAAGTGGGTGGTTTCGATGCTACCCCTTTTGTGGGGGTTCAATAAATTGGCAGGTTTGTGGCGTTGTTTTTGAATGGCTATTAAACGCATGAATGTGAAATGATGTAGCGTGCCATTCGGTTTAGGGGAATATGAGAGAACTTCTCTGTGGCATGCAAATGGCATGAGCCATCTTCTTGTAAATACCAGTCACTCATATTTAAATTTATTATGTCGGGTTTCAGTACTTTGTATCCGGTTGTCTTACAGAATGATGTGGTCGGTCCCGGAAGCGACGTGAACTGGTTGACAAACTTTGCAGACATGTTTCCGGTTTACGGCATGTTCATTCAAAGAGTGGATAACTACGGCTCGCGAGGGTAGCTTGATAATAAATTATGCCGTTTTTGTTTGTCCTCAAGTAGGTACCGTACTGAATCAGGTTAATAATACCTGCTAATTTAATAAGTAATCTGCATTTTTCTACATAGCTATAACCTGTAGGTTCCCTTGTACATATTTTCAACAGAACCAGGGGACCAACCGAAGAAGTCTGCATTGTATGACAGTGACGAGTTTCAGCGAACAATGGACTCAGTGTGAGTGTTTAATTGGTTTCGCTATTTATTTAAATAGGGGACGGCAATTTTTCATTCCAGTCGTACCACGGAATGGCAAAATAATAATTAATGTCGTGAGTACAGGACTGCAGTAACTGTCATGGCAGAGTAGTTGTAGTTTGCTGGCAGTTCCTCTATTGGAGTGACATGTGTACACCCAATCGGGAAATGATAAATCCTATTACGGATTTGCTTGAAAAGTATGCAGTATTTGCAATGTTTCGCGACATGTATAGATTCTGTAATGACCATTTCCATGTTAGGGTGGTAAAAAAAAAGATTTTTTTCAAAAATGACTTTTTTCAAAAAATTACAACCAATTTCAAAGATTAAAATATCAAATGATAGGTAATTAAAAATACTAATTAAAAAATTCAGATGTTGTATTGAAAAACATTGATTGTATTTGTTTTTTATGGTTTTCATTTTTTCTTGAATATTTAGGCTTTTTTACACATATCACAAAATCAGCAATGTATTTTCTATTCGTTTTTGAGTTTTTTTTTAAGTTATCATTTTGGGTTTTTGCTCAATACTCCTATGTGACTAGACTACCATGCGTCTCCATCGATTTATAGCGACTGTAACATGGTCACAACGCATAGTAGTCTAGTCGCATAACAATAATCCTAATTGTGAGTGCTTTTACAGGCTTGAGGCCAAAACTTCGTTATCCCAAGCAACGTTTTACGTACTTGAGCGGTCGGTGATCATCCTTTTTGCCAGTGGTGCTGGGGGGGGGGGGGGGGGAGTGTGATACCCTTCACCATCCCTCTCCAAAGGGGGAGTTTGGTAAAGAGAGATGATAAAACCGATTTGTACCTTCCTTGCTCGCTTTCTACTCTCTATATGCAATTTTCACACTGCCGTACTCTAAACGGAACTATCAATTATATACTTTCATCTTCTCATCTATCGTATAAAAAATACCACTTTAGTCTGTTATTTGAAATTAGCATCTTCAACTATCTAAAACATTTAAGGTTTTATTGTGGTCTTCAAGTCTATTCTAAACCTCTTCAAAGCCATGATAAAACCGAAAATGTTGCTTGGGTATGTTACGCTAATTTAGGGTTTTAGCTGTAGCCCCTGATTCTCGGAACGTGCCTGATACTTGCTAAAGAGGTTGAATTGGGTAAAGGAGTGACATATCATCAATTTGGCGGTTTGTCTGCTCTATTGGAATGAATTTTCCTATGACTTTAAGAGATAACCGATTGTTAAAATTTCGACTTGATTCCCCTTTCTTCAATATGTGCCATTATGGTTCTAGGCACTTTTCCACTAATAAAAGATATTGTTTTTGAATACTTTTATAACATTTAGAAGCGAATTAAAGCCTTTTCATCGTCAGCGTGTCAAAAATGATCACGGCGGCGCGCCGATTCAAAATCATCGGCAGCGGTGGCGTGTGAAAAAAGTGTCGGCGGCGGCGCTCAGGTCTATACGATGATTTCGAAAGGTCCATGCTCACCTCAGAAGTTCCATGAACATCTAGGAAGTTCTATGAGAGTTTTAGAAGTTCTATAAGCTTCTCGGAAGTTCTATGAACTGCTCGGAGATTCTCTGAACATCTCGGGAGTTCTATAAACATCTCGAATTTTCTATGAATTTCCAGAAAGTCCTGTGAAGTTCTAGGGACATTTAGGAAATTCTATAAACATCTCGAAAGTTCTGTTAACTGCTCGGAAGTTCAATGAGAGATGTGTTTTAATAAAGACAATAATAATAATAATAATATATCTTGGTAGTTATATGAACATCTCGAAAGTTTTATCAACATCTCTTAAGTTCCATGAACTGCTCGGAAGTGCTATGAACTACTCGGAACGGCAGTTTTAGAAACTTCTTGGAAATTATATGAATTGTTCGGAAATTCTATAACATCTCGAAAATTCTCAGAAGCTCCATGAACATATCAGAAGTTCCATGAGCATCTCGAACGTTCTACGAACATCTCGAAAGTTCTATGAATACCTTGGAAGTTCTATGAACTGTCCAGGTTATAGAGTTCCTGGACAGTTCATAGAACTTTACCCGAATATAGGAAGTTTACCCGAGCAGGAGAAAATAACTTGACACATTTAAAGTGGTATTAACATGGAAAAAAGTATTATACTCAATACATAACCGTAAGCGTCTTCTGACCAACTGTGGCGAAGAAGGCGGAGCTTATTTATTAGATAGGGGATAACGGGGTAATAAGAAACTTATGGGGTAATGAGACTGAGACACCTGTTGTTTAAGACATAGGGCCCTATTATGTAAGTCGAGTCGAGCATCACTTCTTGTTACTGGTCACTACCTCTGTAATACCAAAATAGACCAGCGACCAGAAGTGACGCTCGAATCGACTTACATAATTGGGCTCATAGTATAGTAGCGTATTGCTGTCTTTTGAAAAAAAAAAGTGTGTTTAAGTCAAATAAAAAACTTTCCTGAACATAGTATGCTTTGGAAAAATCAAACAATAAAGTTAAATCCGAAAAATCGATTTTAAGGGGGTTTCCATAAAGTATGCTTCATATCTCAATGAAAATGATATACTAGCAAATGTTTGGCTTTAGAAAAGTGTATGAAAATGATGGGCTCTACAATTAAAAAAAAAACATTGCAATATCGAGAATCGTCAGTTAAAAAAGTTAGAATATTCAAGTGGCGTCCCAGTAAGTATAATTTATGAACTACCCCTTCATCAAATGCGCCTTCTTTCAACTAAAAACTAATCTGAAGTTGATTAAACTTCATCTTCATGCGATTTTATTTTCTTTTCCTGAAATTCGCCCATCTGATCCACTATGTCACGGGCTGCCCTTAGGTGAGAGTCGCGGAAATTCAGACTACTTTCTCAAAAGCGTTTAAATTTGTTTATACTAGAGTTGGTTGGAAATGCTATCCAACATGAAGTGATTAGTGTGATAATTTATTAGCTAGAGAAAGATCTGAAGAGGGTAGGTAGAGTGCGGCAGTAAGAAAATTGAATAGAAATTGAAAATGAGCGCAGGGCCATTAATGCAACAGTATTACACACTTAGAAATACCTAATCTTACACGTGATGGAATCCATCTTTGATATAAAGGATGAATCCAAATATATCATATTAACAATATGATCCATTCATGCCTTTTCAAAATATTGCAATGGCGACCCGCAAAATATTGCTGCACGCACCATCTAGCGTTGAAAAAGGTCAGCAACAATCATTCAATTACAATCAAGGGGCGCGAATATAGCACCTATTACAAAAGTAAGAGTCACATTATTTTCATTAATTACATTGTGTATATTACTTTAAAATTTGTCTGACATGTCACTGTGGGCATCAAATAAAATAATATGCTGAAATACATTCATTTGAAATATTAAACAAATTTTCATTAGGTTTACCCCTCGTGACGATAAACAAATACATTGGTAGCCTTTTTGGCCACAAAGGTGCTTTCATCGCTAAAAATTTGGTTCGCCAGTTAAGCGAAAGAGTGGATCATATTGTTAATATAATATATTTGATGGAACGTAAACAAACATGTCATGTAAAATTAAGTTCTCCGAGACTGAAAAGTTCATGTCAGTCTCAGAGCACTTAACTTTACATCAATTTTTCTAAGTGTGTAGTCAATCGCACACTCCTTTACCTAACTCACATTAATGGATGAGGAGACTTGAACTCAAGCTATAGGAGTGGAACTTCGGATCAGAAGTGGCTCCACTTGTCATTTGCGAACACTAGCGCACCTAGCGGTAGAAGGCATCTTCTGCCTGCAGTTAAGATAGGCAGCATGCTATGATAGTGTGAGTGCACATAGAAACCCCGTGTGGAACGCTACCACAACACATCGCTTGTTGAACAGAAAAACGAACCACTTTTGATTTACCTATTTGTTTGCACTTCCCCTTCTGTTCTGTGCTCAAGCTGAACATTGCATTAGGCCCTAAGTAACATTGATCGATCCTCTTCGTCGACTTTCTCTTTCGTTAATAACTTGAGCACAGAACCGTTTCTTAATGTGTTTGTCTTGCTAGATGCTAAATAAAAGCTTCTTTTATCGATCTGTGTGCTGAACATACCTGGGCATGTCTTTACATGGCTGTGGTGATGCAAAGAGAAAGTCGACGAAGAGAATCTGTCAATGTTACTTAGGACCTAATGCAATGTTCAGCTTGAACTATCGTATCGGTGAAGAGAAAAAAGAGATAGCATTATTATACCTTCTCTTTCTAAGAAAACGAGGTGCAACGCCCAACAAACAATTTCAGCTGCAGACTAGCTTATACAGGCAAAAATTAGCTGTATAAGCCAATTTTTGGCTGTATAAGCTAATCTGCAGCTAAAATTGTTAGTTGGGCGGAATCATTTTTGCGTCGATTCAACTCTCAGCTTCAACTTTATAGTCAATCGCAATTCCAAAGGAGCTTGTAAAATAAATATCGAGCATGATATTATACTTCAATATCACACGTGATATTCAGAGTGTATGAGAGCGGAAAAATATCAATTTGCTAATGATTATGCTTTCACTACTCCCAACTCAAAAAAATCGTAAACTTCACGTATGAAGTTACAAACAAACACTTTGAATGTTGTCTTTAGGACCAATTTGACGTTTCAAGATTATTATAAGAGTAGTCGTTTTCTAGATTATTATAAGAGTTGTCAAGCAGATTCAGGCATTTGAGGGCCATATGGCGTTTTCCAAGCTATTCTAGGTCATTTTAGCAAGTTAATGCCAATTTGGTAATTCAAGGCTAATTTAGCGATTGTGGACCGTTGTTGGCGTTTTAACGTTTTTGAGGTTATTTTGGCGTTTTTAATACTATTTTGAGAATTTTCAGGACGCTTTATCGACCATGCGTATCGATCATCCTTGTGCCGGAATTCGGACAAAGAACTTTAAGCTCGCCTATTTTTTTTCAAAACGGTGTTTTCGATATTTCGCTATACATTATACCACAAAAACGACTCATCTAATCAAAATAATGTCTGGAATAAAGTTGTAGGAAACTGGTTTGCCTATACAGAAAGAAATATGCACTGAAAAAAAAAATCACATTTTTTGTCAAAAAATGAAAAAAAAACTGTTTCCAACAAGAGCAACTAACTGATGTTCATTTGAAAGTTTTTACTAAATGCTAACTTTTCTGAAATGGACACAACGGACACTTCAAAATTAACCAACATCGTAAAACTCAACTTATAATAAAATATTTGAACTTTTTTTTTCACTTAATATTTATGTGATTTGTTCATAATATAATCACATAAATATTAAGTGAAAAAAAAAGTTCAAATATTTTATTATAAGTTGAGTTTTACGATGTTGGTTAATTTTGAAGCGACTTTCTGGTCTAAAAAATTTGTCTTATTGGAAAAAATCAAAATAATGTTCTACGATTTTGAAGTGTCCATTGTTAATGTTATGATGTTTCCAATAAAAAGGTGTTTTAGAAATCCAATCTATGTCGTCATTTCGATTAGATGAGCCGTTTTCGTACTACGATTTATTGAAAACTATCGAATATGCCATTTTGAAAAATATGGTAGGAGCCAAAATGGTCGAATTCCAGCTACAATTATGCGGAGAGACAGAATCTTTTGCTATTTGGCCTGGGGCTGCTCTGCTATTTTGTTTTTGATGCATTTTAACAAGACTTTTTTTATGGCATTTTAAAGCCATTCTAGTGTCTTCAAAGTCATCTTGGCTCTATAAACTTTGGGAATAAATTGGCGTTCGACACACAAAAAAAACCTTAGTACGGATATTCAGACTAGAGAGTTATGATATGTTTCAAGGCTATTTTGATGAAATTGTTCTTGTCGATAACTTTCAGAATACGTTTATGGGCTCTAGTGTGAACTAAACATCACTTGGCCCAAGCAAGGGAGATGTATGTCCCATCAATACGGTCCCTTGTCTGCTTCTTTAGCTAACCCTCGAAAACGTACATTGTATATTTCTTGTTCTGAGCTCATTTTCTAAGAATAGCGTAATCTATTGCTTCTTGTGCCAACATGTGACTAGTATTGCCGAGAATATCGCACCAAATCAACCAAACACCAGCCAAATGTTACAGGAACCCTCGTCGCCGTCAATCAAATCATACCACACACAGCGTATGCCGTAAGGTGTCGCGACACTTGTCGCTTTGCGTGTGTCATTGTGACGGATGTGAAAACAAAATCTGCACACAGTGTTCAAAACCAAAGCTCTTACCGAAAGAAAGGCAATCCAATTAGGAACCGGATGTTAATTTATATCTATTTAGGTAAACATGGTTTACTTTTATTTTCGTCTTCATTTTATGTTCTTCTCGTACCTGCAATAAACTCTTTGGTTAGTATACACGTCCTTTTCCTTGTCCACTGGGTGGACACTAGAAGCTGGTTTGACTACAATGGTAACTGATTTCGTAACTTTCGCTAATAATAAAATACTAATTTCCTCCTAGTCAAATCAACAATTGAATGCTACCTAATAACTATATAATGCGTAAAATCGGATTTATTCTATAGCGGCGTGACGGTTTCGTGGAAAAGCAAACTGCTTCACGTAACCGGAGTGCCTTCCTCTATCGGGGTGTCGAACAGGATTTGGTACGGCCATTCGCGATGAATTACGGGCCCAATGTCGCCGTTCAGAATCGTTATCAGTTCGTCCAGGTAGCGGACATCATCGAGATCTTCAGATAGTTTCCTAGTATCCGCAAGCAGTCGATTTGTGGTTGCTTCCAGCGACTGCAATTGGAATTCATTAAAATCATTATAATACCAACATTGGATAATCTTAGATGTCCTACCAGTATGTCATTATGCACCTCAACCGATTTGTACATTAGCGAATGGATATTGCTGCCCAGCTTGCCTATTTCTTCTATCTTGTCGGAGATGTCCTCAATCATGCTGGACGTCGTTGAACTGTAGCTTGTCTGCCCAGAGGAGCTGGCCGAATCGTATCCACCGGTAGTTTTCCGCCGGTAGTTTTGCAACTGAAAACTGTTCAGAATGTTCGACTCTAGTAGGCCGAAACTTTTGTATCGTTCGATTCGGCGGTCCAAGCTTGACTTGCTTCGATGACCATAGCGGCTCATACCGCTCCGAAGATGAAAGTAGCTGTGATCATGGAGGCTGTGATCGTGATCGCATTTCAATTCGCGACACTCACTGTTGTGCTCTGCTGTTGAAGATTGTGAACAACTATCGGCGTCTTTTTCATCGTCGCTGGACACCCCGGAATCGGCCCGTAACCGTTCCCGGGAGTTAGATTTGGATTTGGGCTGGTGGAAGGGCGACGATCGAAGAAGACCACAACAGCAGTCTACGTTCAGGTTCAGGTTGTTGACGTCGGTCCGTTCGAGTTCCTCGTACAAGGTGAGGGCGTTTTCCTCGTCCACCGATAGCGCTATCTCAAATTTCGGGTGATCCATCTGGGAAGAGGTGCAAAATTGATATGAAAGTGAATATTGAGATTGTGGCAAGGGTGTCAAGGCATTTTTTTTTCGATTTGTAGATTGATAACGGTGCTATATATAGTAGTACAGATATGCATTTACTTTGTCGAAGTTTTTGAACAGCTTATCGATTAAAATTTTTAACATTAACACTAAATTTGTTTTATGAGGCCTCACTTATCAGCGAAGAACATTCGAGGCGACCTGCATAAATGCGATCCAAAATTTACCTTATCGATCCATCAACTCATGGACATGATCATAGATTTTATGCCTCAGAAAACCACCGGCGCCGTTACATAAAAAGGTTCTAATATAGATCCCTTTTCCGAAAAATTATGGAAAAAATCCTGAATTTTGAATGGTAATGGTTCCTAACAACCCATTATTTGTTAGGTCCAGTTAAAAAAAAAAAAAACCATAACACATAAGGTTAAAACTTCATCCCATAAACCATTCTTGGTCAGATTAAGTTATGGTTCGCGTTTATGCGGGGAGGCATTCGGTTTCGATCCTCACACAAGTTTTACCGTTTTGGGACCTCTTCAAAGACCGTTCAAACTCCGTATTTATAGTGTCAAAAACAATTGATGATACCATAGACGTAGTGAAGGATTGCTACGCTCTTGGCGCCCCTTTCTTAATTGTTTAAATTAGGTCATAAAAATGAATTAAATATGGGCTACAAAATGGTGAGTGACAATCTGGAAGGAGCGATACACCTAGCTGCGGTCCACACAAGTTCCTACCTCACGCTTCCACGAGTCATATGATCACAAAAGACTGCTAGCTGAAACATGGACACAGCTAGTTGGTGTAGCCTGGGCAATGTTGTCAATCCGACAATAGCAGAGTGAGGAGGTGCGACGCGAACACTGGCGCGGTAACCATAGCACGGTGATAGAGGAAATGCTTCGCCAACCCGAGCGTTTGTTCACCATGGAGGTGCGGCTCAAACAGCGTCTGACTGGCATCCAGCGGCTGAATAAGAAATGCTCTTCCCGGAAGCTACACCTAAGATGGCAGCCCCATCACGGCGGATCTTAAGCCAACCACCTACTGTCTCTGAAACCTTTACAATTGTTACAGAAACCAACAGAGAAAGACAACGAGCTGATTTAACGGCAACGACTTTTAGCGCAAAACAACGGACACTAATTGGATCATGGAATGTATTGACGTTAGCCCAGCAGGGTAAACTGGCACAACTCGCCAACGAGGCGCGACGCATGAAGCTAGACATCCTGGGACTGAGTGAAGTTCGTTGACCAAACTTTGGAGTTGGTGGAGTTGGTCTCCTACTTAGCGTCCAGGCAAGTGATGCGCTTGAGACTCGAGCTGCGGACGTTCCAGAAGGTGGCAGCGTAGAAGAACAATGGACGGCCATCAAGAATGCCTTTATAGAAAGAAGCGAGAACAACTTGCGTGAGCTGCGCACCCAGAGGAAAGAGTGGATCACAGATGAAACCTGGCGGAAGATTGAGGAGCGTAGAGAAGCAAAAGCCGCGATAGAGTGGGCGAGAACCAGAGGAGCCAAGAACGAAGCCCGTCAACGGTACTCGGCTCTAGAGAAGGAAGTCAAGCGCTCTTGCAGACGGGACAAGCGAGCGTGGTTGAACTCCCTGGCCGACGAAGGGGAGGAAGCCGCAAACACTGGCGATATACGCCTCCTCTACATGATCCGCCTAGGGTGCGGCGCATCACTCGCGTCAATTCCGAGGCCCCATCACTGCAGGAGATTGAAGCAGCTATCCAAAGCATGAAATCCAACAAGGCTCCAGGGGTCGATCGCATATCAGCAGAGATGCTCAAAGCTGACCCCATGCTATCCGCGCAAATGTATTCTGTAATATCTGGGACACCGCGACTTTTCCGGCCGACTGGATGCAGGGTATCTTAGTGAAGGTCCCAAAGAAGGGGGATCTGACTGTGTGCGACAATTGGCGAGGCATCATGTCATTTTCTCAAAGTTCTGTGCAAAGTTATCCTGAATCGGATACAGGAGAAGATCGACGCGACTCTCCGACGGCAGTAGGCAGGATTCCGTGCCGGAAGATCTTGTGTGGACCATATTGTCACGCTCCGCATCATTCTGGAGCAGGTCAATGAATTCCAAGAGTCCCTTTATTTGGTATTCATTGACTACTAAAAAGCTTTCGACCGTCTCAATCACGAGAATCTGTGGGGCGCCCTGAGACGCAAGGGAGTCCCGGATAAAATCGTCAACCTCATCGAAGCGCAGTATGAGGCTTTCACGTTCAGAGTTCTGCATAACGGAGCCTTGTCCGACCCTATCCGGGTAGTCGCTGGTCTGAGACAAGGATGTATACTATCACCGCTACTGTTTCTCATCGTAATCCACGAGATCATGGTAGGTGCAATTGACCGTGTACCAAACCGTGGGCTGCTTTGGCAGCCTATCACCATGGAGCATCTCAACGACTTCGATTTGGCTGATGATATTGCTCTACTAGCACAACGACGCTCTGATATGCAGAGTAAGCTCAATGACCTAGCCGAACGCTCCTCTGCGGCGGGTCTCACCATCAACGTCAACAAGACCAAATCGTTGGATATCAACATGGGCAACCCTTCCAACTTTACGGTAGCGGGGCAAGCAGTGTAGAAGGTCGAAAGTTTCCAATATCTTGGCAGCCAAATAGCGTCGGACGGCGGGACCAAGAGCGACATAGGTGCACGAATCAAAAAGGCTAGGGCTGCCTTTGCGAGTTTACGAAATGTATGGAGATCCAACCAGATAAGTCATTGCACGAAGATTCGAATTTTCAACTCGAACGTGAAATCTGTGTTGTTATACGCCAGCGAAACGTGATGTGTATCAGCGGAGAACACTCAAAAGTTGTAGGTCTTCATCAACCGATGCCCGCGGTACATAATTCGTGCCTGGTGGCCTCACAACTGGATCTCGAATGCCAAGCTCCATCGTCGATGTCATCAGAAGCCGAAAGCAATAGAAATTCGAGAGCGAAAGTGGAGGTGGGTCTGCCACATACTTCGACGGGGTGGAAACGAAATCTGGAATGCAATTTTTTCAATGCCTGAATTATAATCATAATTCGCTTATAATCATTTCCCAATTTGTTCAGAGCACCTGTAAAAATTTTTCAAGAATAATCTCGGGATTTTAATATTAAATGTTCTGGTGATTTAAGAATTCTCCCCAGAAATCTCTTGGAATTCTCTGTACAACTTTTTCCCTATGTTTAATGGTTCTTGATTTTTTTATGTCTTAATTATCGAGATTTTCAGCCTCAGGCTGATTCATCTCCCGGTTCTTGAAATTACTCGCTTGAATTTTTTAGCATGATTCTCTTATTTTTTTAAATATCCCTTAGAATTTCTTTGCAATACCCATTAAAATATCCATGGATTTCTTATCAAAATTGCTATAGAATACTGCTAAGAACAGTCTTGAAGCTCTTCTCTAAATCTTTCTGCCCTGTAAACTTCCAAAGAACTCTCCTAAGTTGTCTTCCACAATTTTTTGAAAGAATTCGCTTTGAATGCCCCAATGTTCTCAGAGCTCCTGTCAAGATTTTTCAAGAATAATCTTGGGATTCTAATATTAAATGTTATGGTGATGTAAGAATTCTCCCCAGAAAACTTTTTGAATTATCTCTAAAACTCATTTCCAATTCTTAACGGTTCTAGAAATTACTCGCTTGAATTTTTCAGCATGATTTTCTTTAATATTCTTTTGAAATATTCCTCAGAATTCCTTTACAGTACGAATGGGATTAAATTTGAACGAACATGAAGTTAAAAAAGGTCACTGATCTTTTCTGAAGTTCCTTGAAATTAATCAAAGTTCCCTTAACTTCTAATATGCTCCCCAAACTTGCACAAAGTTCCCGCTTCGACGAATTTTTCCCGACTCTCTGTAAAATTATTTTAATTTCTACGAAGTTCTCTAAACCTCTGCGAAGTTTTTCCGAATTTCTACGAAGTTTTTTGAGCATCTACGAAGTCCCTTAAGCTTTATGAAGTTCTCTAAAGGTTAAGAAAAGTACCTGAACTTCAACGAAGTTCCTCGAATTTCTACGAAATTAGCCAAACTTCTATAAAGTTCGCTAAATTTCTACAAAGTTTGATGCAGTTCTACAAAGTAATCGGAACTTCTACAAAATTTGCTTATCTCCTACCACTTCTAGAAACTTTTCGGATATTCTGCGCAGTTTCCTGAACTTTTTCGAAGTTTCCCAAAGTTCTACGTCGTTTCATGAAGGTTCGAGAGAGAAATTCTTCGAGGCTCTATAACAGCGCTACCCAACGTGTGGTCCACGGATCTCATCAATGATATCATTCTTGTTTAATTTTATTCATCATTATGAATTTTAGCCCAGAATGAATGAGATATAAATAAAATGTAGATTGAAACATGTTCATCGAACAACCTTTTAAAATAATGGCGCCGGTGGTGTAGTGGTAAGCGTGATTACCTCTCACCCCAGTCGGCGCCGCCGGGATGTTCTAAGGCATAACATCTCTGATCACGCCTTCCTTCGGAAGGAAAGTAAAGCCGGTGCTCCCCGGTTCAGGAGTTGATAAGTCGATAGGTTGAGTCCAGGTATGGGAGCTGTCTCCCTGGCGTCGGTAGCACGGAAAACGAGATCGACGGAAAACTAATCAATTAAAAAGCAAGTTTAGAAAGGTTGGGCAGGAGACTGATGCAAATTTCAAACTTTCGCTCCACAGTGTTCAAACGGTTTCAAATTGGGTCCTGATTAGCATTCGAAAGTTTAAACTCATTTGATAAGAAACTGACTTGGCACACACCATTTGAAGTTTATATGGAAATTACTATGGGAAAAAAAAACTTTTTGTTCATTGTCTTCTAGTCTTTTTACATATTGTACTGTTAACAAGTTCTATTGCTATTCTCATGGGAATTGTAATCAGCTTCAACTTTGTATAAAATCGTTTTTCAGCCAAACGTAAAATTTAATAGTTATTAATTGTTTAAGAGATTGATAATCTTATTGTAACTGTATTGTGGGCAACACTGTATTCTGCAGTGTGACATAGTAGTCATGATTTTTGTCCTCTATTCTACGCGCCATAAACACCAATGTTGCCTGCTCAACAGTTGATTGAGCATAATCATAAGACATCAGTAACTTGAATCATTAATAATTTGTGTTCCTTAGTTTTGATCGAAAAGTGGTTTTCAAAAAACTTGTAGCTGAGCAATTTTTTAACAAGCGCAGTTATCATTTTATAAAGTGAATTTTGAGATAGATATGAACCGACATTATGATTTCCCCATAGTAATTTCCATATAAACTTCAAATGGTTTGTGCCGAGTCAGGTTCTTACTAAATGAGTTCAAATTTCGGGAGGATAATCAGGACCCAATTTGGAACCGTTTGAGCACTGTGGAGCGAAAATTTCAAATTTTGCATCAGTCTATTGGACAGGCCTGCTCTACAACGTTCCCTGAATTTTTACGAAGTCCACCAAAATCAAATGATGTCGTCTTAACTTCCACAAATTACCCTAGATTTCTAAGAAGCTGTCTGAACGTCTTTAAAGGGTTCGATTTAGAAATCTCAAATATTGAAAACATTCCCCTACTCTCAAAGTTGGAAAATGGCGGAGAAGACATGTGAAGACATTGCTTCGATCTCGTTGAAGATTTATTCAAAATGCACCTGGCATCCCTGATACTAACTTCCGCAAAAGAAGCAATACACTAATTCAAGTAAACTTTTTTAGTGCACTGTGTACCGGTCTAGTGCAAGATATAGAAACATCATAAAGAAGCCAGTCCCATTTGTACCGATTAGATTTCATATTTACCTCAATATATCATCCGCCGTCGTATCAATTACCGCTGTTCATCCAGTTCACAGCACTAAATTAGCTTCCTTTCGCCTTCATTCTGCATCTTCAGCTGTTTGTTCGCCCGATTGTGGAAATTTGCTATCGCTCCATCCTGTTGTTCATTGTCGTATCCATTAGTGTTTCGCGTTTTTGCTTCGTTCGCAGTTTGAAATTTTCACAACACTCACTCTGTTTTTCACTCTAATCTTCGTTGCACATTTTATAACTCTTGCTTCGTTTTTGTTTGTTCAGCGGCAATTACTCGAACGAATTTCCACTGCTGTGTAGGAGGAGGGCGTAGCACACCCGTTATAATGTGCAAAAGAAGTCGGTGGAACCAAATTAGCGAACGAGTGTATCTAGCCAATTTGCTAACTAACTCACTATGATATATCGCGTTCAGCAACTCTTTCACGTGCAATATCTGTTTACAAACTTCTTCGTCAAGCGTTTACCTGTGTAGATCTGGGATTTGTATGATTTGTAGCTATATTAGATTTCACATTCTAGGATCGTATTCACCGGTAAGCTTCCTGAATGATTTACAGTAGCTTCACTGCATGCCACTCTGTTCCACTTGTTCAATGCTCCGGTGGCCGTGAAATTGCAGCGTTTCAATCGAGTCATCTCAATCAATTCGCGACCGTAAAAGCGTTTCCTGCTAATCACAACGCAATTCACACCTGATTTATCGTTCCGATTGGCACTTAGTTTGCAGGAAAATCACATAAACTAATACTCCACATTAACTGATTGCGCGACCACCTATTATGCTGTGGATTCAAGCAGAAAAAGGTTCAAATTTAGTTTGCGTCGTAGAAAGCTGCGAGAACACTGCACTAATGCTCCGTCGTCGTCGTCGATGGCCAGCAAACACACACTGTGGGGTAGCGTAATTTGGAATATTTGACGCAAATAGAGAGCTGTCTCAGAATCGGGTCGGCTGTCAGCTGTACGAAACACACCCAAGCTGCCTTTTCTGTCTGAGAATAAACACACCCCGTGGATATAGGTATCACGCGAAACTTCAACGCACTTTAGCTAGCCATAGCCGCCGCACACACGACAGAGAAGCCGATGTTTTGGTAATACCCTCTAGAGGGCTGTGTGGCCGCGCCGCGTGAGATCATCCATCGACTCGACGACGATGACGACGACGATAATGCCTTGCCTATGATGGTGATTGGGGATGCCCGCTTGTGTACACGGTGCGCTATACCACAGTCCGCTACTGCTGCAAAATGTATATTGATATACGTGAGTGGGTGGATAAACGTGCGGTAGAAAATCCAAGAAACGGAATGCTATCAATGAATTGGGTTCAATTTTTCTGATTGAATCTACACACTGAGCATGAGCATGAGCATTAGCATGGGCATTGATGACCGTACAAATCGTAGTTGCTACTCCTTGATTGACCAGGTCCAGCAAGATTTGCACATTTGCAGCAATTCATGCTCTCAGTCCGGTGAATCAGTAGTTTTAAAGTCACTTGGAATTCTCCTTAAAATTATCTAGAAATTCTTTTCGTGATGCCCTTGAAAATTTCCTCGGAATTTCTTTAAAACTCTTCGCAGAATTCCTTTGCAATCGTACCCGTGGCCATGGAATTTTCTCTATACTTTGGGATTTTTTTTTTAAATTTCGGGCAAAATGGGCCGAAGGTTTTCAGAAGGCTATGCAATTTCACCCACAGGTAGAGTTTTTGGATGTTCCCGGACATCGCGTACTTTGTAAATTCATAACTCATGAGCCAAGTATCGTATGATAAGGAAATTATTTCAGCAATCTATTTAAATTATAATCTGAAATCGAAAATTATTACGATGATGGAGAGTTTAATTTTGAGTTATGAACATAAATTCTAACAGCCAGGAAAATTTTAGTTCAACTTCGTTGATTATCCCGAACTCCCTGGGCATTGGCATAGCCTTGAGGATGGCTTAACTGCAACCAGGTCCCAGGGATTGTCTGTATCTTTACATTTTGGAAGATGCACACTAGTGATACCAGTTGTGATGTACCGGTCCAAAAGTGTGTTCGAATTTAACTACTTGCCAAAATTTAATAATTATGTAGCATAGAATTATGACTTTAACTATGAATTGTTTTTTTTCTTCTAATTAATTGAGTCTACTGGCTGCAATTTTTTATTAATAATGTGGACATCACACAGGTACTACCTTTGAATTTAGCTTGATCGAGTGCCGATTTTCTTTTCTTTAGATCAAGACGACGAAGTATTGAAGAAGACAACGATATTAACTATCTGCATGCTGGATCAACATAAAGCTATGATAGAGGGATAGAACATCATTTTATTATCATAAAAACAGAACCATCAACGGCACTTAAGTACAGAATGCCAGAACCCAAGAAAATTGGAAAACTGGTATATACCAGGAAAACCTGCATTCGACAGGACGTGGACAGGAGCTAAATTGACCACTTTGTCAAGAAGTTTTGGTGTGACATTCTACCAGCGATTTCACAATACTGGACCAACTAATTTATATTTTTTTTATGAAACGCACAAAGGTTGCTACTTTTCTCTTGGTTCTAGAAGAAAAAATCTCAAAATAATGTTTTATTTAAAAAGTTCGAGTGGTAGTAAACGTCATTTTAACTTCTCGAATGAAGTGGTTAATTCCCATTGAAGTATGGCAGAATATAGCACAATAAAGGAGCAAGTTCAAACAAACCACTAACAATCTGTATAGTAGCATAGTGGAGTCGGGATTTGAAACTAGCAGTGACTCTGACTGGGATAGTGAAACAGAAGATCTAGTTCCTTCAGACTTCTCCGGATTCAGTGATAAGGACCCCATCATGAGAGGAACCGATTTTGGCGAAGAAATCGGTCCGAGGCACCGGCAATAACAATCGCAATAGATCCCCATTCAAATGTGTTAGCAGTGCCTTTTTAACCACCATTGGTTATCCACCACCTGGTCCTCCGGAAAGTTAGGGGGTTGGTGTCAGGCCCTGCGAGCCAGCCGTAAAAAAGCATTGCAACGGAAAAACAGCATCAGAGGAATACGAACCGAGACCAACGCCAACAAAATAGGACTTGCGATTGAAAACTCGGCCCGTTGAACTGTCAATCTCTCAATTTCATCGGGAGCACCCGAATACTCGCCAATCTACTGAAGAACCGCGGATTCGGCATCGTAGCGCTGCAGGAGGTGTGTTGGACAGGATCCATGGTGCGAACGTTTAGAGGTAAACATACCATCTACCAGAGTTGCGGCAACACACGCGAGCTGGGTACAACTTTCATCGTGATGGGCGAAATGCAGAAGCGCGTGATCGGTTGGTGGCCGATCGACGAAAGAATGTGCAGGTTGAGGATCAAGGGCCGATTCTTCAACTTTAGCATAATCAACGTGCACAGCCCTTACTCCGGAAGCACTGATGATGACAAGGACGCATTTTACGCACAGCTCGACCGCGAGTACGATCGCTGCCCAAGCCACGACGTCATGATCATCATAGGAGACTTAAACGCTCAGGTAGGCCAGGAGGAGGAATTCAGACCGACGATTGGAAAGTTCAGCGCCCACCAGCTGACAAACGGGAACGGCCTACGACTCATCGATTTCGCCGCCTCCAAGAACATGGCCAATACGTAGCACCTTTTTCCAACACAGCCTCCCTTATCGTTACACCTGGAGATCACCACAGCAGACGGAATCGCAAATCGACCACGTTCTGATTGATGGACGGCACTTTTCCGACATTATCGACGTCAGGACCTATCGTGGCGCTAACATCGACTCTGACCACTACCCAAAACTTTCCGTCATCAACAATGTACGGTACCGACGCCCGCCACGGTACAACCTAGAGCGACTGAAGCAACCGGATGTCGCCTTAGCATACGCGCAGAATCTCGAGGCAGCGTTGCCAGAGGAGGGCGAGCTTGATGTGCCCCCTCTAGAGGACTGCTAGAGTACAGTAATAGCAGCCATCACCAACGCAGCCGTGGGTACGTGGAAAGAAGTCGACGGAATGAATGGTTTGACGAGGAGTGCAGAGCGATTTTGGAGGAGAAGAACGCAGCGCGGGCGGTAATGCTGCAGCATGGAACCCGACAGAACGTGGAATGGTATAAACAGAAGCGGAAACATCAGACCCGCATCTTTCGGGAGAAAAAAACGCCGCCTGGAAGAAGCGGAGTGCGAGGAAATGGAACTGCTGTGCCGTTCCCAAGAAACACGGAAGTTCTATCAGAAGCTCAACGCATCCCGCAACGGCTTCGTGCCGCGAGCCGAAATGTGCAAGGATAAGGACGGGAGCCTCTTGACGGACGGACGTGAGGTGATTGAAAAGTGAAAGCAGCACTTCGATGCGCACCTGAATGGTGAGGAGAACGTAGGGACGGGAGACCAGCGCAATGGAGGAAACGACTACGTCAGTGCAGCAGAGGACGGAACTGACCCAACTCCCACGCTGAGGTCGAGGATGCCATTCAGCAGCTCAAAAACAACAAAGCAGCTGGTAAGGATGGTATCGCAGCCGAACTCATCAAGATGGGCCCAGAAAAGTTGGCCACCTGCCTGCACCGGATGATAGTCAGGATCTGGGAAACAGAACAGTTACCGGAGGAGTGGAAGGAGGGGGTAATCTGCCCCATTCACAAGAAAGGCGACCATTTGTGAGAACTTCAGAGCGATTACCATTTTAAATGCCGCCTACAAAGTGCTATCCCAGATCATCTTCCGTCGTCTATCACCTAAAATGACCGAGTTCGTGGGAAGTTATCAAGCCGGCTTCATTGACGGCCGATCGATAATTGACCAGATTTTCACCGTACGGCAAATCCTCCAGAAATGCCGTGAATACCAGGTCCCAACACATCATTTGTTCATCGACTTTAAGGCGGCATACGACAGTATCGACCGCACAGAGCTATGGAAAATCATGGACGAGAACGGCTTTCCTGGGAAGCTGATCAGACTGATCAAAGCAACGATGGACGGTGTGCAAAACTGCGTAAGGGTTTCGAGTGAACTATCCAGTTCATTCGAATCTCGCCGGGGACTGTGACAAGGTGACGGATTCTCATGCCTACTCTTCAACATCGCTCCAGAACGTGTAATGCGACGAGCCGGGCTTAACAGCCGGGGTACGATTTTCACGAAATCCGGTCAATTTGTGAGCTTTGCGGACGACATGGACATTATCGTAAGAACATT